CCAATCAGGATTATTCCTGGAACAAAGCGTAGTCACTCAAATACCATTTTTGTGTTAATAGCATCGTAGCTACCGAAATAAACTGATATATTGACATGGAAACGTACAAGGAAAGCAAAACAAACAAAAATAAAAGGTGATACCTTTCGTATGAGGATCTTCTAGGAAAATTGTAAGGCAGTCGACAAAGTTCGTGCCATTGAAAGGATCGCCTCCTATTCCTATACCCAGCGTTTGACCGAGAGAACAACGGCCGTCGTCTGATGTACCTGCCTTCATATGTGAGCGTACCAGACCGTGACACGATACCAATAATACCCTTCAACATAAAAATAGAAGGAGCCTTCTTGAGAAGTTAATAATGCAAACCTTTTTGTGAATATGTCCCGGCATAATGCCTATTTTTGCACTCTTCCGCCGATATTATTCCTGGACAGTTCGGACCCAGAAGGCGAGTTTTGTTCTGTTTCATGAGACGATTCTTCACACGAACCATGTCCTATATGTACTGAGAAATTAACATGTTTGAAACTTCAACAACATTAAATGAAATCATATTGACTTTGATGAAGATTAAAAGAAAAAGCGGAGATAATCTGAGTCTTCTCTTCTCTTGATAAAGCACTTCAACAACAATCCAAACTTCAACACCTTACGCTCCTAACTTATTACGCAGCATTGGCCGATGTCAGAGTCTGCGATTGGAGCGATCGGTCAAATGTCAATCGCGCGATTCGCGCGACGATCGCGCGATTGACATGAGTCCCATCATGACCAATCGCTCCAATCGCGCGATGGGCGCGATCACTCCCGTTGTGGCAGGGAGCGATCAATGGCGCGCGCCCCCCTCGATCGATACGTTGACTGCGCAGCTGGGCGCTCCCTGCCACAACGGGAGTGATCGCGCCCATCGCGCGATTGGAGCGATTGGTCATGATGGGAAATGTGTCAATCGCGCGATCGTCGCGCGAATCGCGCGATGGTCGCGCGATTGGCATTTGACCGATCGCTCCAATCGCAGACTCTGACATCGGCCATCTCTTACTGTTAACCACTTCATGAAACGAGAGTCAAAGATATTACATTCCCCTCATGCCCTTGGCAAAAAGTACTATACGTAATTTGATGGCCCAGCCCGACTTCTGCACCACCATCTGCCACGAAAAGTGCGGTCATAGCTTACGTGACAGATATTACCTCAGTCGAGAAAGCCCATAACCACGTGTCCTTTAATAGAGAGAGGAAAGGTGCCTCAAAATCGAGCTGTATGAGGCGAGAACTATGCACATCGAAACCCTTGAAATCTGCCATAGTGCATTGGAAAAAAGGCTTGATTGAATATAAGGCTAGAAACTTGCATCGCATATGAAAAGCGAAGATATATAACTAAAATGTTGCAGATCTGCATATCTTGAAGCTCATGAACTTCAGTCGTTCTATAGAAAGAAATATCTGTAAAAGGTAAGAAGGATTGAAACCATACTTGCTGTGGGATCCCCTCGGTTATACATACGACTAGAGGAATTTCAGCGTCAATCGCTTCGTCAATGGCACCAGCCGCGAAGGGAGCGGGTACGTAGATCACGGATGCATGAGCTCCTGTCTTTTCACGAGCCTAAAAATGAATTCTACCACTTTAACTATAGCCACTTGCTTGCTCTACACAGACCACCATTGAACTATTCGCTGATCAATCAAACACGTAACCATTTCACAAGCAATAAGGGGATTAAAAGCGAGGAAACGTTTGAGAAGAAAATACGACGATTTCAGGCTCCGAGAATCGAAATCGACCTTAGTAGATGGTGCTGAGATTACTCTGCCGTTGTTCTTCGTATATAAATTAAAAGTCTCACACTAATTACTCCAGAGATCAATAAATTTACGATTGGAGCAGCGCATTTTCCCTGAGTAAAAGGAGCTCCCTATCACCGATGCCAACACACCTCGTGCGACACGAAAGCGATGGTAGGAGACCATACATTTTTGATGATGTCATATCGATTTTGTGGGAATTCCCTGTGAAAAAGCGGAAATCGCATAACTCCAATAGGTTCTATGGTATAAAATGTTTGATCACATGGAACATGATTTTCTCACAGGTTTACACCTTGACAAGCACCCTGCAAATGCCTTTCACCATAAAAAACCAGTAACAACTGCTCAAAATAACGGAAGTGCCCAGACAGAAGGGAAAACGCATTGCACATTCGTATAACTTAAGGTCTTCACTTCTGATGGCACCAAAATTCCGGCTATCATACTGTATAACAGCGACACATTATGTTGCTAAAAAATCGTTGATTTGACTAGTCTCCCGAAAAACCCCAGCACCACCCTGTTGGAGATCAGAGATCATCGTCATGGAATGATAAGAAGATCACAACCATGTGATCGCGAGGGAAGTTTCCCGCCGGAGGTCAAGAGGGCCAGGAGTTTGCTATAAAAGGCAAGTGCCGCCCTGAGAAGTGGTCCCTCCTCTGGTCTCCCGACGGTGCGGGCATCGGGCCCGCCAGAAGTCTCCTTCAGGAACCTCCACCTCCCCAACGACTACTCCAGCAGCCGCCGTTCGCCCTATTCAAGGACCCTTCCTCACCTACTCGTCTACCCCCTTTATCTCACACAATTCTCTTCATTTCTGTTCAGTTATTGTTTTGTTTCTAATAAACTCTGTTCTTCTCGGTGTTCGCTTCAGACACACGTGGAGATAATCGGGTCTCATACACTACGATACACATGACTATAACTATAACATACTATAACTGAAATGTAGCACCACTTACTTCTTTAACATCGCGGAACACCGGCAAACCCATGTGCTTTTCGCCAGCCTTTTTGACATTCACTCCTCCCACAACCTTCGTTCCATATTCAAGCATCTGCTCCATGGAACGTTCCCTAAACAGTGAACAGTCAACGAAAATCGTAATCGATGAATAATAAGATTCTGAAAAGTAACCTGAGACGCATTTGCAACCATGAAACAGTCAATTAGACTACTTTCCCGTGAAACCGGCCTTGTATGCAGAAACCTTCCGTACCTTCGTTATTTTCAGGCGTTCCTTGTGCTGTTGTACATTCGCACATTTTCTTGAAATGACAAGATATCACATGTGGAATTAAGAGATAACTTCAGAAACCGTACCTTTAGCCACCAGTTGTGAAACCCGCGCTAGCGAACCCGGCGAGAACATTGCGAAAGGCCGATCCTGCCTTCAAAAATCATTTGTTTATAAAATAGAAAATAGGCTTGTAGACAGGGCACAGCTAATGAACGAGAGACATTCTGATTGTGAACAAAGAACTCAAGCGTGAGGCTTTTATCGGAGATAATTGTTGAGAATATGTACGGTCTATTCACTCAAAGCTTGAAACTCTAAACTGAGAGGGCTTCAGCAGAATATCATTCCAGAAAATTTGACTGAATTTAGATAGATAAATATCAAGGCCAAGCGAAACAGAGTCTGATTAGGAACCTATTATTGCTTTAAAAAGCAGCGCGGATCTTTGTTGTCAATCAAAACGGTTGGAGTCGCCTGCTGCTACCGCAATCAAGTAATTTATAAATCTATCGAAAAAAGGCTGGAAAGATCACGAATGTTGTTCTCTTCGACCAGTCCAGGAATACTTTAAAATGTAATAGATTGCCTGCATGCAGCCCTAAAGAGAACAAGTTTTATCAAAAATAAAATATTCGAAAACTCAAATGAAGAACTAAAGGAAGGGCGCTCATCCCGTAAGGGGGGGGGGCACTGTGATGCAACGTCAAATGGCTACCCTCACCCCCCACCCCCTGAACTGGCTTCACTCCCCCTGGCTCACGGGGTCCCGTACTTCGAGAAACCTGTGCGCCAGGGGGAGTGTAGGCAGTCTAGGGGGTGGGGGGTGAGGGCAGCCACTTGATGCCCCCCTTACTGGATGAGCGCCAAAAGGAAGGAACAAAAATATAACTAAAATCAATAAAAATAAATAAATATGAATAAAAAGGGAAATCAAATGATGAATGAAAAATCAAAAAATGTGCGAAGGTGGAGGACCTTTTTGGGATGCGCCATGCATTTGACTTCCGTTCAGAGTCGTGGTTGACTTGAATGCGTATCTGGTTATGACGTCTAATCAAAGGGAATGGTATGCTTTGCAAGTCTGGAATGGTCGCGATACCACGTGCCACTAGGACAAGCTATGGGTCGATTAATTCTCATCAGAGGCATCGTTGTATTGAGCATCTTCGTGGAGGGGGATCGAACTGGATACAAAAACTCCTCCTTGACGCATGTATCACATGCCAGTCCCTGTTCCACCCCCTCCACCTTCGAGACAACCTCTAAGGATGTAAACTCTCTTCTCGCAGGCTGTTGCGATCAACGCATTACAACGAGACAAGTTTTATACCATTTTCAACCAGTGTCAGAGAAAAGATTTCAATATAATAACTTGTTGATATCAATGGACGCGCCACAATATGCCTTCTGGGTTGAACTCCTGCTACTGCATGTATCCTAGGATTTCTACACGACAAGCTCAGATGCCACTTATATCTGACAAAGAGCGCTGCACGCTGTGGTGTTCTATGGCAACAGGCTCAAGCCAACAGTAATAAATGGTTGAATATTCCGGCTTGAGCTCAACCACATCAGTGAGAGTTTCAAACGGCATGAGAATCTCTTCGCCTTTTCCAACTGATGCGAACCGACACCTCCTAACGAGAATGCTTCCAGTGCAAGTGAGATGAAATGGCCTGATTTGCGACAAAAATGGTGCGATTCTCGAGCCCACAGCCGTGCGATACGAGAAAACTCCCTTTACGCCCTGTGATTGCTGCCCTCAAATAGCGAGATACTATAAAATTTTAGCAATTTTATTGAAGCCCCGCAAATTTCCACCAATTTTGAAAATTACACTTTAACAATTAAAACCCTAAGAATTCTTATCCCACGCACTCCTCAAACACGCTGCAGATTGCAACCAATAATCAGCCACCACTCAGACAGCCAAACACCGTGCCACTGACGGTCCTCCAGTGGGAGGGAACACATTGAATCTCCCACTCGAGGAACCGTGGCACGGTACACCCGGCTGTCACTTCCGCCCTCGAGTTGAGGCTCATCGGCGCCATTCGTGGCAGCTGTAACTAGCGCACCAGATCATTAATCAGATATCAAGCTCTAATCAATTCCTGTGATATGATCGTTGGAAACCATATACTTCTTCCGTTCATTATGCGAGAATATTCAAAACCAATGATGCTGTCAGGACCAGAACAGCCGCCGGAAAAAGACCATAACAATTAATATTATGGCGCTATCCAAGATCCGAAGCATGGTGGTGGCAACAGATCGTTAAAATCGCGTTAAACACCCTCTTTTTGTTAAAAACGGAAATAAACCTCAGGCTTCAGGGGCGGAGAGACTCCAGGTTGCGTGAGCAAGTTTCACTTTCCCCAAACTTCCTGCTCGAAGGGATAGGCTTGGTCCAAGAAAATGTCCCCGTATCTTGTGATAGCGCTAATGTAATTGTAATTCAGCCCTTGTCGAGCAGCTACCACCTAGCAAATTGAAGGAGTAGCCCAAGTTAGCAAAATGCCATAAAAGGTCGGAGAGAAAAGTTAACACAGTATCAAATTTTCTATAGGGACGACAAACAGGAGTGAATAACTTGACAATTCATAGCGGCTAGTTTAAGAGACAGACCGCAGCCGGTTCGAAAAATGACAGTGCTTCCGGTTGCCTCAATTCGTCTGATCTTAGTTCTCAGTGCTAGCCAAATGGCTCCTATAGATCATGTTTATTCAGTGTCAAGCACCAAAAAGATTACAACGATCTTCGATTGAAACACGTTCTTCACAAACAAAAAGTGCATGAGTTATGCAAATGACAACAACGGCTTCAACAACGAGGGCGGCTGGCTGCAAGCAATTGAGGTACGCAGCGAATTCGCCTCTCGCCTTCGTATCACCCGGGCACGCAAAAAGCTTTCAAGCCACCCGGGCGTCTAATGTCTAGGAACCTGCACAGCACAGCAATCCTTTCTCTTATCACTGCTTCAAAACAACCAAATAACGCTCAATCACGAAGAATTCACGGAGAAATTCGGGAAAAACCACATTGTGGACGTGAGTTTTCTGCCGTGGCATGTAGAGAGCGCTACTGATATAATGTGACGATGGTTCCTGGCTACACGGCAAATGAACTAAATGTTAAAGAATTGGTCCCACAGAAGCTGTCGATAAAATAAAATTAGGCGTAAGATTACGGCAGCTTTTCCGTCTGCAACTGCACAACACATTTAGAGTGTCGTCTATTCCTCCGATACTTTCTAATATGAATTTCGTTTATTGTATTCCTCCTTATTTCTTGGTAATCTCTATGCAGTTCATCAATACACTCCGATACACTCCTTTTACTTCATGACAGTGATGTGGATATGTGTGACGTTTATTACGATAGAGCGATTATTATCAAATAGTGATTAAAAAGCGCTGAAATATCGAGAGAGGAAGACTTTTTCGTAGGGGCAAACTAACGAACCGTAAGCACATTGCACATATTGTGCAGTACTGTTACTTATAGATTTGTGTCCCTTCAGGTATAAACATGTGTGAAGGAGGAAGCGTGACTCATGCAAAGTCACAAATCTTAATTCAGGAAATCAAGTATTATAGAGAATTATGATAATGAGAGGGGGGCTTAAATCCAATCTCTTTCTTGACAGGGACTGAATATGATGGCACACATGGGGCAAGACTACTGCTGCACCAATGTTTTGGTGCCACTAAGACATCATTATTCTAGAAATATTCTAATCATAAACATCCCAATATCCTTCTATTATATAAAGCGCTAACTTTGTGTGTCGGTTTGTGTATCTGTATGTGTGTGTGTGTGTGTGTGTGTATGTATGTGTGTCCGTCCGCAAAATGAAGTGAGTGAGAAGGAAGCTCATGGGATAAACAAACCGCTAACAAATCGGGTAGCTTACAGGATTTGAGATATCAATGTTTTGTAGATAGTTGTGATAACACTCTCAGGGCTATATAAACACCTGCTTAGCACACTTCCGTTCATTCCACATGGTGCTGCAGTGGCAGCTGGAGGGCAGTGAGAGAGAGAAGGGAGGATGAGGAAGGGAAGCGAAAAATCTACCGTCATATCATGATTGTGTCCCTTCTACTGTATGAAACACCATTGTGTTGCATACGCGTCACTTCCAGGAGGTGTTGGTGTCACAGGAGGAAGGGACCATAGCGGAGGATAGAAAGCTTGCGCAGGAAAGGAAGGTCCCGGCGGTTGACGGGGGACTAATCTGGTATATAAAACGCTATGTCTGTCTTGTGTGTGTGTGTGTGTGTGTGTGTGTGTGTGCGTGTGTCACGAAATTCATAGCACGCGTCGCAGCAGTCGTTAGGAGCTGATTTTTTGATATGATATAGGGGGTGGGACGGGAACATATTTGGTGGGGGTCAGAAAGTGATAACGACTGATAAGAGCTGATAAGAGGCGCTAGAACGCAAATTTCACGAAATTCATAGCTCGCGTCCCAGCAACAGTGGGGCGTTGGTTCCTTGAGGGATGTGCAGGGTGGGGGGGAACATGTTTGGTGGGGGACAGAAAGTGATAACGACTGATAAGAGCTGATAAGAGGCGCTAGAACGCAAATTCCACGAAATTCATAGCTGGCGTCCCAGCAACAGTGGGGCGTTGGTTCCTTGAAGGGATGTGCAGGGTGGGGAACATGTTTGGTGGGGGACAGAAAGTGATAACGGCCAATAAGGACTGATAACAACGATATGTGTACGACTGTGGAGATAAGTCAAAAACACATTTGAAATAGCGCAATTCACTTCCATATCATTCTTCAGCAAAATTACCATTCGGCCGCTACACTCCCCCGAGTTCCAAAAAATGTCCGATGGATGTTTTAAGAAACATGATAATGAGTGCTGGGTATTTAGATTCCAACATGCGTAGTATTGAAGATTGTTCGACCGCTAAATTATTTTGACATTAGATGCATGGTGGTTGTTTACAGACATCACTTTAGCTCCGCACTCCACCGCGCGTATCAAGCGGACAGTCAGCTAATGCATTTCACGAAGAATTTTTATTTCGTACCGGTGGAATTTGACCCTCCACCGACTGTCCAGTTTCACCGAAGCCTTCGATGCCATGCACGCGGTAGTGTGCGGAGCTAAACT